TCTTGAGGCGGCACCACCTCCATCCCCTGCTCCTTCGGGGATGCTTTGAGTACCGAGCAGGAAGCTCCAGGGCAAGGGGGCTGTGGGCCCATTCACAAGGTCTGAGAGAGGGGCCTGCAGACCTGAGGCTGTGTCAGGGGGCCCTGCTTTCACTTCCTGGGATGGTGAGGGGCTTTAGAGGGGCATGTCCTCCAGCCGGGGACCTTCAATGTTTGCCTGAGGCTGGCCCTGTCCCTGCCTCCTATTGTGGTTCCTGGTTCTGCACATTCCAAATGACTTCATTCTCTAAAGTTGACTTTGCCTCCCATTGGTGGTGGCTCCCGCCCTCTTCCCCTTCCTGAGCCTGGCCTGCTGGGCGGCCAGCTTGAGGACGCCGAGTGGAGGCTGTGGGTCAGCTCCCCTTGGAGGACCCCTTTCCTCAGGTCCCGATTTCAGCCCAGGGCAGGATCCCCATGGCCCTGGCCCAGCAGAGCCATCACACGCAGCCACCCCTCAGGGTTCTCCCAGCCAGGCCCGCAGCCTCCCTCTTCCTGGCATTCTTCCTGTCCCCCAGGGACACTGAGGCCAACAGCTCTCTGGGTTCCGCTGGCAGAGACCGACAGCAACTTGTGCAGCGTGCTCTGGGAGAAAGGGTGGACCAGGGTTGGGAAGAGCTTTCTGGGGAGAGGGAGGGGCCTGGTGGTTCCTGAACCCCAGGCGTTCAGTGCCTCCCTGGAGCCTGCCCCAGGCCTCTCTCTCAGACTCTGTGTCAACCCACATCCCACCCGCAGCCGGCCCCCAACGCCAGCCCCATGAAGCACTCCACCTCCACACTGGCGCCCCAGCGTCCCCACGTGGCTCATCTCTGCAGCGCTGCCCTTGACCGTGCCCCAGCCAGCCAGGCTGTGCCCCATCACCACCACCGCTGCCATCGCTGCAGGGACAGGAAGCAGAAGTCCTTGGAGAAGTGGCCCAGCCTGTCTGCAGACACAGATGGCGGGGCGTGCGGGGGTCCCTCCTGTGGCCAGGGCCTGAGGCATTCCTTTCTGTGCCTCCACCATCCAAATGGCCCTGAGTAGGGGGCTGTGAGTCCCAGGTCTGGGGACCAGGCAGGAACCTCCACGCACCTCAGCTCTCCCCCTGGGTCCCCTGCTGGCCCTGGGGACCGGGTCTGGGCTGGGGTTTGTCTCCCCACCTGGCTCGCTGTGCTGACTTCCACTCTTCCTGGCCAGCACCCAGTAGTACTGCAGGGCCAGGCCCACCCCCAGGAGAGGGGCCCACAGGCTGCCGGAGGGAGCGCAGACAGGAGCGGGGCCGGTCTCAAGAGTGGAGGCAGCCCTCTTCCTCTTCCTTGGAGAAGCAGCGTTTCTACTCCTGTGACCGATTTGGGGGCCAGGAGCCCTCGCAGCCCAAACCCTCCCTCAGCAGTCACCCCACGTCACCAACAGCTGGACAGGAGCCAGGACCCCCGAGTCCGGTAAGACAGGAACCCCTCACTGCCCCTTCTTACGAGCCCCCCCCACCATGCTCCGAATCCTCCTTCATGTCCTGGTCCCCAGGCCCGAGTCTGCGCTCCCCCCCTCCTTGCACCATTCCTCCTGCATCAGCCTGATCCTCCCTTCCCAACTGCCCTGAACTGGCCTCTGGTCTCCCTTCTCCCTGAGCTGTGCCTGTCCCTTTGTTACCCACTCTTCCCCAACCCTCTCCCCAGGCCTACCAGCACCAGCGGCTTTCTCCCCTCTACCACATACCCTACCGGTCCCCTCCCAGGGTGCCTGCCTCTCTCCATGCCTCACCACCCACCTCCATGGTTCTCACCTGCATTGGCCTCTGGTCTGGGACTTTTTTTTTTTTTTTTTGCTCTGTTCTATTTTCTTGTAGGGTGGTGGTTC